TTGAGGAACGATGCTGATGAGCGATTTCTGCGAGACAATTGGCTTGCACCAAGTTATCCAGGAGCTTTCTTCGTTGAGGAGGTCTTTTGTCGTTTTCAGAATATGACCTTTCAATGTGAAAGATCCGCGCCAGATAATTTATGCCATCTTGAAATGCTCGAGGCCTTTGTCCATTGGCCACTGGTTATTCACATCTAGTCCGCTACCTTTTAAGTCGGATCTCAACACATCTGGATTTTTAGGTGTTTCAGGTTGATACTGAAAATTCCTGCTTTCGGAAACTGATGCTGAACACTGGCACGCATGCATTTTCAAACTGTTGACTAAAAGATGGGTTTCCAGCTATTGTAAGGAGTTGACAGTTCCACATCCGTGAGCAGGTTCAGTTGCTCATGTAGTTGGAAAACACTGTTGAGATTGACGCGGTCTAACGAACGTCGCTGTGTTGCGCACAATCCTATCATGTCAGAATTCATCAAAACCCGTCGAAATGACCAGATAAATGGCATCAATAAATGTGGGGAAGTTTGCTGCTATCTAGCCAACCCATGTGGTAAATGGCTTAAAAATCCACCATGAGTTGTTCCCAAATTTTAGCCCAGTGAAATCAGTGTCAAGTTAACATGTGTTCTCGGGATCTGTTTCCGCTATTACAGCAACATTCCTAGCCGTGTGGAAGTTGGCTGGGTTTCACACCACTTTGGAAAGTTTTTGACAACACCGGCTTTTGACGTCTGCCGGGTTGCATAAAATAATCGACTGCTGACCGCGTTGTGCCAAACTCACCTAGTTTGTTTACGCTGCACGGGTTGAGAAAATAGGTTCAGGAAAATGCGAGCAATGGCAGGCACGGAAACGGGTAGTAATGACAAAGACTATATCACATGGTCATCATGAAGTGATCGGTGAAAAGATGTAGTCTTTTTAGGCTACTTTCCAAGAGTTACCCTGAAACATAAAGAAACTCTTGGGGATTTAAAGCTTTCCTGGTTGGAAATTCACCCTTCTTCGTACGGTACCTACTGACTGTTATGTTTATCAGAAGTTGTAGGCTTCAATCAGTCTTTGGTTTAAGTAAAATGGAAGGTTTCTAGTTCTACTTGTTCTCTTCCCCTATTCTGTGGGCAACAGATTTCGGTCAAGATCCAACATTTGCTATATATTGAATTATACGTTGCACCTAAACGCCCTAGTGTTTTGACGTGAATTCGCACGCACTCCACTCTTACGCATCCAATGCAATCTTACTAAAACTCAAATAGATACTTCGGCATTTCAGCGACACTAAATTCCAGATTAGTTTTTGGTTAAGAAATCGGAATGAAGGACAGGGTGTAATACAGGCTTGAATACCTGGGTATCACTGTGTTAGCGATAAACTGTCCTTTACTGCTAGTAAGTACTTCAGCGACAAGATATAGTGATGTAGCAAACAGTGCTATAGTGATTCTTTTCCAATGTTCACTGTGGTCGCACAGAGAGTGCTCCCGCATTGCGGTAGAGAATGGGGTATTTGGTCTATTGGTTCTGGTTTCAGTAAATCTCTGATCAATTAGGACACCTTCCACTGTTTTAGGAAACCAAAAGGTGGTTTGAAACCCCTCAGTCGTCCTCCAAACAATAAGCTTGGGCTGCAGATGATTCTTCGCTATGATTGCGCACACGTCCAGTAGATGGGACGCCAGGATAGGGTGTTTAAAGCCCTGGTGATTTCTCGGTGGGAACATAAATAGCATGTCGAGGAGAGTGTTGGAACAAAATATCATATAACTCGATATCGGCGCAATCAGACTTTTGAATTTATCGGCCGAGCAAATTTGCTATTTTCAAGATGCAATATGCTCCATTTGGTTCACTTTTACTTATATTATGAACATCCTTTGATCTGCATGATTTTTCCTTTTGGATACAATTTGTATTTTTCAGACGTCACACTATCCAAGTAATATGCCAGTAAATGGAATAACATTTACACAATGCAGCTGTTAGCTACAGTAGGCAGTGTTCCGCATTTCTTCTGTCGGGCGTGTGGGCTATCTTACGATATTTCCTCCCAAAGTTATTTCCTCCATAAACCTAATTATTGTCTTCCGAATGTTGCCATCTGATTCTCTGTCCACTCCTTGTGTGACCGAATCTCTTCGGGCTCATGTCAATCTCTGTACACCTACGTTGTCCTCCACCCTGTGTAGAATTAGTGTCGTTTGTCCAGAATAATTACCTGCATACCTGCCAGTCGCCTTATTCGACTGGAAATTTCGTGGACAAGTGCTCGTCTGAACTGAGCACATTTGAGGACTCACCCAAGCTTCCCTTGTTCTAAAGACAGACTGTCAATAAAATTGGGAGATCCAATGAAAATTCACAGGCTGATGCGATGATAACCGTGTTCGAATCTATACATTACCCAAGGCTTCGATGAAGCTGAAAACAGAACACACACAGAACCCACTTGTTGAGTTTTGGATTACTTCTAAGTCAAGAATTTGCACTGCAGCGATAAGTGGAAGAAACGAATACAGGCATAACAGTGGATACTACTGATGGAGGGTATGCGAGTAGTATGTCTTCTCGTAAATTCGCATCGCGTCTCTTGAAAAGTGAGATCTGTTACGGAATTTGCGAAGTCGCTTTGTAGAATTTGCTTGCACTTAAGTAACAGTAAATGAATATCCAGGAATGTTCAGGAAGACGCTTTCAGGGAGAAGGTGGACATTCTGTTTTGTAAACAAGATGCACATGAGAGTTCTGCTTCCCTGTGCAATAGCAACTGTTCGCTTGGCGTTCTCTAGTAAGTAACTCCACAACAAAGGCCTTCGTTCTTTCACGGGTATGCAATGTGCTCACACTGAGTCTCAAGTTTTATTCAGAACTATTATTCATCAGTAGGTGTTTTCACTCCGAACGTGAGGAAAGATACTGAGCTGCAAGGAAACTATTACAAGTCAATGACCCGTTTGTTTTGAGAGAGTACGCTGCAAAAGCCTCTTGAAATGCGCTCAAGTTCGTAATCATAAAAGGGCACCAATCTCAGATTCATAAATTCTGAGATCACAGCAGGTGAACACATAATTTTATATTATCAAGAGAAGTTCATTAGGATCTCATTTGTATGAAAAATCTGCTCAAAACGAAGACTCGCTGGGGCTGTTGACGGCCCTTAGCATAGTGGCATAATAATACATCTTGTGCGACACAGAACCAGTAGAAAATTTCGTTGCACAAAATTCGAAAAGCAATCCTCTCTATGGCATTCATCATGATTCTATTTATTTGCAAAAGCGATGAGCAGGGATTTCCAGGTTATGCTTTCTCATTGTCACCTCAGTTTGGATTCATGTGCATATGACAGTTTGTGTTCGTCGAATCCCGTCGACATTCGATGTCTTAACATGTGAGCTTTAGCCCTCTTCGCACAGTAAATAGGGCGGGGTTGATAGTTAATTTCTCCTCAAGATGCCTTACATTTGTTCGTGAGAATTTACACCTCAAACAATTGTACTTCACTTGAGAAAGTGAATCCATCAATTTCGGGTGATCTGCCCTACCCCAGCTGAGCAATATAGAGAGCAGTAAAAATTTGTGAAATTGCAAGCCAATCACACTTTTGATGTTCATTTCAGAAATGTGAAATCTGGCACACAGCAAAACTTTCTGATGCCATTATCAACCGTATATTAGTTTACAAAACTCACAGAAAAGCAACCCCATGCTTACCAAATTCAGCTCTTTTTCTCGACAAAGAGAGCAGGAACATGGGGTTATTACAAACCATTACTACTTTTCCTCTTGTCTCTCATCAGAGTATGGAGTTTCGGAAATGTTAGATCAATTCATCTTTGGTTCTCATTTGTTTGTTGCGACTACAAGATTCCAATTACCCTTGATTGATTATCATGATCTCCATTTAGCTTGAATCACTAGTCAAAATGACGCGATTTATCTCTTCGTCAGTTGAAAAGTATTCGCACTGAACTCCACATCCACAGCAAACCACCAAGAATATTAACATTCTGTCAGGTCGAGGTATCCGGTTTCTCTGGGGTTAGGGTGCGGATGATTTAGTCAGCTAGTGTATTTAGTCAGTTAGTGTGTATGGATTGCAGGCAGTGATGATGATACTTAATATCTGCAAAATAAGTAGGCTCTATTCGGCCCACAGAAAGTTGCACCGTTTCACTACAACCATGTTCATTCCGGCTAGAAAACGCGCCTTGCACGTACGACAAAAGTTTGCATAAGCAAGGGAGTCGACAGATAACTGACCTTGAATACCTTATGAAAAATGTAACAGATTCCATAACACAGAAGTCTTACCTAAGGAAACAAATGAAGCACTCTCGGTAAATAACTTTTGTGGCTCAACGAGATGAAACTGTGCCACGTCTGCCTTCATGTGATTGGGGTGATATTAGTCACATTGTCTGTGACACACATTAGTTCGTACATAGATTGTGGCAGGTTTTCAGAAAACTTCTCCATTGTATATACTCACCGAGAACACACAAATTACACCACAAGTTAGAGTTTGTAGAATTTTGATTACACTGAAAGAGGAAGTAGCTGGATCCATCCAGTAGTGCGAGGCTTTATTCCCAGCCATTAGGATTATCTCCATCCAAAAAAATAAACGCGTTTCACCATTCTATTCATGCCTTCTCATTTATGAAAAGAAGAATGAAGATATCATAAGCACTCAGAAAATATGGTTTCACCTCAAATGCGTTTGAATCAGCTAGCTGACAGAGAAATCAGTCCTAGAAAGGTTCTTCTCACCATCCCCATTAATGCGATTTAGTCTTACGGACGGATTCGCTGTTGATCGTAAAGCAATATTCGTCAGTAAATTTGTTACAGATGACCTAAATGTATTATGGATAAACTAGCCTTTGATGAACAGAATTCGTGATAAGGGACTCGACTCTAGTTGATCTCGACTATTTGACTGACATACTAAAAGTCCCACAACAAAGCCGATCTATTTTTTGTCTGTTATTCAGGTTCTGTTGGCGCCGAGATGGAGATCACCACAAGCAGCAGCTACCCTTGAGTTTCCATGAGAGGTTTGGTACCGTTAACAGCACTTTTGCAGCAGATGAGTATAACTTTGCCCGTTTGTATGCGATTCTAGCGGGGTTTTGTCTCTTGAAACTTGTAAAACATTTGTCTTGCTTTTAGTGGTACAGTTTGGGCAAACACATTTATTCCGTGTAGCTCACAGATAAGTTGAGAGACCAATACAACGTGCACCATATACTACAGCTGTGCTGTAGACAGAGTAACATGCTATTTACTGTTTACCACCAAACGGAATGTGTTTACATTAAATCAAAGATTACTGATGTTCTCCAACCTCACACCACACAGTTTAAACTCTTTGGAACAAAAATGTTTCCCAGAACTCCATTTTTGAACGCTTTATTATTTTGTTAGAAGATATTACGGGTAGAGTTGCTGTGGTTTAGGACATGTGCGATAACGTCACTGTGTCACCATCGTTTTTGGGCGAAAGAGTGTTGTCACCTAGCACCGTCTTGTTCAATTAAAGAAAGCAAGAATCTACACTTCTCGTACGATCACTAAGTGAGCCAGGACTTTTGACCTGCTAGTCACATCCTCAGATGTCTAGAGTAGCCAACCAACCATTCGAACCGTGCATGATTACTGGTATCATTACTGGTTTAATAAGGAAGTGAAGCCAACATTATTTGTTGTATCTGAATTTAACCATCATAGGGACCAACACGCACCGACAGATCAGTGGTGACCAGTCAGCCTCAAATGCCAAATGTCATGGCAACAAATTTCAGCAATTTTAATCAAATTCAACAAAGGGATGCATCTATACATCTGTATGGACGCACTAAAAAGGATCTTTTAAAGCGAATGATGTGAATACCCACTGTTAAGGAAATACACTCATTCGCAACCTTATGAGTGGTGCATTACGAATATGCACCGTTATTATTTTGCTACTGTCAAGTGACACGAAATTTTCAACGAAGACTCTGTCACTCGAGTCAGATCCATCTACTGTGAATTACACAAGACACTACACAAGGACATTCTCGTCGATTGATATTCTTATCGACTTCCATCAACCAGACTCAATAAAATTCAGAAAAAACGACTTTCAAAGCAATGGTAGTTAAATGGTTCATCTCGCCAAGGCTGGCATTCCAAGGACAGGATTACTCTTTACTTGAATTCGGCGTGATAAGAATAACGACGGTTTTACCATTTGATTAACGATAAAACGGGCGTGGAACGCCTTGTGACAAAAATTCCTTAGATAATCAAGTGGAATGCTGAATGAAAACTTTAGCAATGTTGTATATTGCAGTCACAAGGAGATAGACTTATTTTGGGGGAAGTGAACGCTGTCTTAAGGTCATAAGATGCTCTGTGGTTGTGTAATTTAGGAAGAACAATTACGCTGATCATACTTGTTGTCAAAGGCAATTTGGTCACAAAATGTAAGTTGCCGGTCACTAGGAGAACAGGACCGATTCACCGAACAGGATCATAGTCCGGCTTCTCCATAATATACTGCAACAGTTTAGCATCAAACGCGTAAAGAGTATTCTTGATCGGATACACAGGATACACTTAAGGAGGAGAACTAATTTGCCTGTAACCAGTCCCACCTGAAAGGCAGGGCCAACATTTTGCACCGCGCAAACTGGATGCGGTGCATCATACGGATACGCGCGATCTGTGTTAATGGTAATGTGACTAGCTATCTAGACGTGTGCCAATAATCAAGCCCTTCGATTGATCGCTTTGACACGATTTTTGATAGCAATTCTTGTTGTGAAGCAATAGGATAGATTCTGTTACGGATAACGACACATTCAACCTGATGCTTGTTCGTGTGTAGCCCACCAGAGTAACGACCTTCATAATACATGCAGTGGTTGAATGTCACTTAGCGAGAAATACTAATCCAACTTGTAGATAAGATCAATCGAAGACTTTCACCTACACGGCAAATGTAATAATTGGGAAAAGTGAACAATGCCTCAGTCAGTTTCGAATGACGTTTGAAGCTATCCGTGAAAAGAGCCCGCAAGTTACCGTTTGAAATGAACAGTATAAAACAAATATCTTTACTGTTCACATTCACATCACTCTCAGTTGAACAATCGTCCCCCGGTCCTGGTGTAATTATTCTGGTGAGTCCCCGCGAAAGGGAGCAAAGCATTGGGCTCGAGTTTTGCTCTTATTAGAACTCATCATCAGTGCATATCCAATGGCCATGCCGGGGTTTGAACTCCGGATATCTGACATGCACAGCGAGCGTCTTATCACTAATCCACCGGCGCAAGTTGAACGCATCTGAATTTTTACGTGCGGGTGGATTAAACGTAACACGCTCGCCTCGCAGGTCAGATGTTCGGGTTTCAAATCCCGACACGGTCATTGGTTACGCAATGTTGGTAAGCTCTAATAAGAGCGAAACTCGAGTTCAGAGTTTCTCCCCTTTGGTGTGGACTAACCAGAATGATTAGGCCAGGACAGGAGGACGAGTGTTCAAATGAGAGTGATCTGAATGTGAACAATACATCCCCGCAAATCCCACAAAAGAAAATCCTTACAATACAAACCCATTTTTTACAGCCGACACATTCCAAATCTCACAGATTTCTGAATCCATGAGGATGTGCAAGTAATCGAAACCAATAAATTTTCAACGCACCAGCGTTGTGATGTAAGCCTTTTGGCGCACTGAAATTTTGAACCGAACTCAGCGTTCACTTTTGTGATGTACGTACACACATTATGTGAAGAAAGCTGAATGAGAAGCGTGAAAAACTTAATGCAACTTAGGAACAACCTATTGGCAGCCAGCTTAAATAAGCCATGTGAGGGTCAGTTATAAGCTGTGAGCGTTGGCATGGAATTCAAGATGATATACTATCCAATGAATATACACTCATTTACAAACTAATTTGGTTTTTCGAGGGACTCACCTGGAACCCAGCTGAATCTCTTGTTTGTGATGTTCTCAGGCAACTGAATGTGCTGCACCAGGCCGCCTCATGTTTCAGTGATATTCGAGATATCGCGATACATGTGTATCTTTGTAATGCACTACTCATAAGGTTGCTGAAAATCCGTCGAGATCCCACGACCGGTTTTGCCCTTTTTGGGGCTCATCAGGTAGGCGCAGTCCCTGAGTTTCCTTATGTTCTACTTGAAACAAAATTGCACGAAATTAGCAAATATACACTCATTTGCAAACTAATTTGGTTTGTAGCCTGGAAACATCACAAACGAGAGATTCAGCTGGGTTCCAGATGAGTCTCTCGGAGAACCAAGTTAGTTTGCAGATCAACGTATATTCGCTAGTTTCGTGCTATTTTGATTTCAAGTAGAACATAAGGTTGATGAAAACTCGGAGACTGCGCCTACCTGATGAGCCCCAAGAAGGACGAACCCGATCGTCGGTTGTCGACGAATTTTCAGCAACCTTACTAGTATTGCATTATAAATATACCATTCAGTTTTTTACATAATTATCACAAGAATGACTACTGCGCGGGGATCAAAATTTCAGGCCGCATGTCATTTTACGTTACAAATTTAGGTATTCTGAGATACGTGAACAAACAAACTGAGGTAGCTTTGCGGTCTCGTGAGCTGTAATCGAAGTTATGTTCAGAGGATTGTTGAGCAAGAACTTTACGTTATTCAATTTGTAATTCCATCGAAATTTTGTTGATTCCATCGACGCATTTTCCAACGGATAGTCCCTTCAGTGAAGGCTGATCTTTTGTGAATAAATCCGGAAACTTTGTGACCGAGACTTATCCCATCGTGTGGAATTTTCAGTGTCATAACCAAACACATCAAGCAAGTGCGTTGCTCAGAAACAATTTTGGTGCTGACTTGGTAAGACTGAAGGTTACTAGCTTTCGTATAAGCCCACATCTTTCGATGTTATCAAACGTCAACCCTGCCCTGACGCTGTCACCTCGATTGGTGATGAAACGTTTGCAATCCAACTGCCAAGCTCGGCAAACTGACCAACAACCAAACAGCGCACCCGAGCTACCTACATTCCACAACACTGCGAACAGACGATTGTGCTAAGTATTATCTGGCATGATCATCAAGGAATAATGGGTGAGAGAATCAGATTTTTTAAAGGTCCTTTTCGACGATGCCTCCGATACCTGAAGAAGCTCTGAGGGGCTTGTAGGATTTTCACGTTACCCTTGTTTCAAATGCACACTTCACAGTAAGGAACACCAATCTTCGAGTTTTTTCAGTTTAGTATAATCTTTGTACAAGACCGAAGCAAAACGGAAAGACTTAGACAGGCTTTAGGTTTTCCAGTGTATTTGAATTTATATAACAGTGAAAAAACACAGCATTTGCTATTGCAGTTTTGAGGTGCAACCACAAAAGTTTTGCATCTGAGTATTCATTGCAGTTCCATTTGAAGAGCGGTGTGTGTATTAATATATAGGAAACCGCAAGACCTACTTCAGCAACTTTACTGTGGTATGATTAGGCCTACAATGAGTCGCGCTTGACGGTCTGCTGATACTGATAAGTCATCAGATACCGGTCTAGTGAAGTAGCTGGTGCTTTTGTCGCGATTTGTATCCGTTAGTCAACCAGTCGTAGTCCTCGAATGAGGCTTTTAAGCGAGATGATTTCTAGTCCTGAAGAATCAGGTCTTTCGACAGAGGAGTAAAAAAGCACGAGATTCTGCTTATTTTTACGGTACACATTATAATCGATCAATCATTTTACGGGTTGCAGTCTCTGCTCTACATAATGCTTTATACCGTCAGTAAGACCACGCAGGTGTCTACTAAATAGGACATCACCACGTAGTGTTCGTGGTCCTGATGATTTCCACGTTTTGTTTCATATCCCCACAATTACTCGTGAAGTATTTGTACCTGGAACCTTTTGGCTTGTACATACAGTAAGGAATCATCACAGCAGCTAGCATAGATTAAGCACCGGAATGAGTCATTGGTTATATTTTCTTCTGGGTGGCGCAATATTTTTACGCCTGTATTTCGTATGCATTCGCATGCCCTAATAAGTGTGCTATGTTGGAAAAACTCCTATGTCATAGGAGTACTCCTTGTCTATCGGGAATTGGTCGACCACGGCAAAGATGTTGAAAAATTTCAAGGTTGCTTCGCCAAGTATGGCTTGGTGTCATCATTCGGCTTCTCATACTTACTTCGTGTTCCAACCGAACTTCTGATTTATCACTCTAACGGGCTTTGGACAAAAAAGATGCACTGTCAACATTTTGTCCAGAGATTTCGACATTGGTGATGTATTTTTTCAAATACGGTTGGCTTTTATTAAGTGTTCTTCTTCACAGTTCCCCCCATACTGACGCTAACTAGAAAAGCCAAGCCTCCTATTAAGATAATGCTATGCGACTCTGACCACCTCAGATGGTGTCTTATGAACTCGATCTAGGTGGGACAGCGTAAATGTGTTCGCTATCGGTTTGTTCTGCTACACGACCGCCACAGATGGGTGGACGTTTAAAAGCTCATAAACGCAGCTTGGCTGGGGATGGTTCATAGTTGAATCATCATATCAGAAAAGTCAGATTCCTGAAAGTACCCACTGAATGTCCGAGATCTACTGCGACTCTCAGATGCTGACCAGACAGACAATGCCTCTCAATATGCCGCGCATCACAGTCTTTATCAAAGCCAGACAGTGTGAGTCAGCATTGGACCAAGGCCAGACAGTGTCCCGCCGATAAAATAGCTTGAGGTCATTGTATTTTCGCACTCGTACGCACTCACGCTCGCTTGTTGGGAATGAACCTGTTGTGTTCCACTCGATGAGTCCTTTTCCGGCAGTAAATACTGGATACAGTCAGATACAACAACAGATATAACACATTAAACTTTCGGCACAGACCAATTCTGCCATCTTCATGCTTACGAAGAGGAAGGGGACTTCGTTGTATTTGAATACATCACTGTTCACCGCTGGCCATTTGTTCTGCTCCATACACAATGACTGGAAAAGTGGAAGGATTCCAATATGTATCTCATTGGTCGGAAGTTGAAATTTTGTGATAAGGTTGGCAACTAAGTGGTTGATATAATCTGACAGTCGGCTTATTCCACTGAATACATACTAACTCGTCTTCTAGGATCTTTGGTTGCGGCAAGTTCTACAAAACTCTTTTTCCCCCACAAGCAGCTTTTTGAAATGAACGGGACTTAGAAAAAAATTACCCGCCTAACGCTCTAAACTTCAGAGTCGGGAATTTGGTGAGAATTAAGCTTAAGGACTCACAAAGTTACGGTTCGAAACACCACGGTCTCTTCTTTGTCAATAGTGATGACACCCAAACTCTTTAAAACAACGTGTTTTCATGTGACGGCTGGAAAATTTTGAACTCATTCACCATAATCATGTTTATTGTAGGTAATAAAAGTTTGGCGACAAACATTTGCATAAGCGAGGACGCCAGGAATTGACTGACCTTGAAATCAGTATGTAAATTATAACCAACAGTTCTACCAAATGTAAACCTCACCTATAAAAATGAATGGAGCGCTCCTGGAAAATTACCGTTCCTGGCTCTACGCGATGAAACTGTGCCACGTCAACTATCTCATAGTCGGGGTGATAGCACTCATAGGGTCTGTGACCCACGCCATTTCCTACACAGATTGCGGTGAGTTTTTCAAAAATTTTGTATTTCAGAAAATTGTATGTACTCACTCAGAACACTTGCAAACTGCAGTGCACTTCAGAGTATTCAAGATTCGAGTGTTTCCATTACCCGGAACCATCTAGCAATGAAGAGCCTTATTCTGATGTAACATGGGTTATTCTTTTTAGTAAGACATCACCCCCCTCCCTAATATTTTGCGTCCATTTCCGAAAAGCAAATAAAACATCTTTCAGACTTATGTTCACCCACTCATTTTTGGAAATATTATGATACGCAAGCAAAAACACATGTTTGCCTCACATGCGTGTGGAAAGGCTGGCTGATAGCAGCAACATAAACAAAAAAGTGTAGCTATCTTCTTCCTCATCAATGTATTTTTGCCCAACGTAGCAATCACTGTTCGGGACAAAGCAGTATCCATTCTTAAAAGGTCGATGTTGACATTAAAATGGTAAAATAAAGACGAAGGTTTGGTGAATAAATTGCACGAGCTGGGATTCCCATGTATTTGACCTCGCTTACTTAACTGACAAGTCACAATCGCCACTACACAACCTATGTGGTTTTTTCTCGGATTTGCAGGCTCGCGTAACGTTCAGATATTGTCCGTCGGGGTCAACCCATGCAACAGCAGCGAGCCATGTGTGCTCTTTAAGGGAGAAACTGCTTCTATCAATATTACTTTTAAAGCAGGTGAGTATACATTTGCCCGTCTGAACTCGTAAATGTTTGTCTCTGAAAACAGATCTCCCCGGTTTTAATGATAAATTTTGCGTAAATTATTTTGTTAGTCTTTATAGCTTACAGATAACCTACGAGATAAATGACACATTGGTCAAAGCCGTACCTTCAAATATAGTGATCATCACAAACTTTGGCTTCGTTGTAAAAAGAATAAATTGCTATTTTTAGTTTACTGTCAAATGGGATGTGTACACACTAAAATAAACAAACACTAACGTCAGCCAATCCCATATAAACCGTTCTAATATCTTTGGAGGGAAAGTCTAACTTGCAAATAACAAGACGAATATATTCTTTGCGTTTTTTTCAACAATTTATCACTTCAGAAAAAGATATCGTTGCTGGGGATGCTGTCGTTCAAGGCATATACAATAACCAGACTATACCACTACCGTTTCCCGACAAAACTGTGTGTAGCCACCTGACACCACAGTGTCCAATTAAAGAAGGCAAGACATACAGTTTCAGCCACACGCATCTGGTGAGCCAGGACTTCCAACTGGTAAGTCACATCCTCTCGTGTTAAGAGTTGTCATACAAATAAGTCAACCGTGCAAGGTCACTCTGGGTTTTGCTTTTCAAAGGATTGAGGTTTTTGGACACATGGTTTCTATCCCTGTTTAAATACCTTCATGATCAATCCTTTAGGAATAGGTTTTGTGTATCGATTTTGGTTGCAATAGCTAAATGCATAGATATTTTGTGTTCTTACAACCAATGTTTAATCTATGTATTACTGCTTTCGGTGTTTGTCAGATGAATCAGAGATTCCGGAGACGTTATCTGCATTGGCTGGTTACTTGAATCATGTGCTCCAATCATAACTGAGGCTTTATGTGGGTTTGATCAAGATTTGTTGGTGGCCTAATAGATTGCTCCTTAAGCCGGCATTTTTATTCCCTAGAATTCGATTCTGGTGACTTTCAAATACACTGACTGAATGGATGTGGCAAAACTTAGTGCACTGGTATCATCTGTCCAGAATCCCCACGTCAATGGTTACGAAGTTTGGGATAAATAACAATTTTCGCACCACTAGTGAGACGTTTTGGGGGCCGTTTGTCACTGCGATGCATAGTGGTTTTGCCCAAATGTCGTAAATTTATTACGCCAACCCAGTGATATTTGGCATTGTCAGGGGTGGGAATATGTTCTGTCTCTCTTATAAGTCAGAAAGAACCAAAGCATATGTTATGAAATTGCCGGTGGAATCAAACAAGATGTTAGTTTCTTATTACGTAGCTAGGATGTTTGGCAAATTTGGTACTTATTTTTTTGGGTGGGGATCGCCATGTCGGACCATCACATTTCGCAGGGAATATGATTCGTTCTAAGTATTCAATCGAGACACTCTTGAGTTATGTGACGTACGAGTTTGTCATACCTTCGTTTCTTTTAAATTTCAAGCACAAATGTGTTACCGGATTACAAGACTAGCCAAATCACAGTGTATAATTAACCGCAACACTCATACTATCTTTTGTTAAACTTTTTTTCTGCAGGTTAGTCTTGAGATTCGTTGGGAACTACTGGATTCCGACAAAATGCCATTTGTTTGCGTCCAGTTCCCCGTGCAAATCGATCAAACCACAAGTAATTCCTGAATGGCGGGAATATGATGACCCCGGGCTACGTGCATAAAGAATTCCTCAGTGTCAGTAGTGTTCTTGGCTTCTGCTTTCGGGAACAGTTGCGTTGGCAGTACAAACGGGTTATTCTGTTATCGGTAACTGGCATTCATCAGCCAGTATTTATGGCGCCACATGTCTGTAAACACATCGACCTTAAGCAGTCTGGAGATCGTTTTTTTTTTAAAAGTTTGCTGACAATCGGTAGATTTATTGCTGGGCAACGTTTCGCTGTTGACACAAAAGCTTCGTCAGGCCAAATGACTAGGTTCCGAGGTTGGTCGAGATTTAAGGCGGAAGGAGAACCAATCAGCTAAGTCAAGCTAAATCTCTGTTGTGTTTCGGCCGAGGGATTTTAGTGTGTTAGAGTAGTTGAACAAGCGTTGGGTCGGTGGGGTGTGTTTGAGTCCAGCCTAGAGTCTAGTTCTTCTGGCTCGGTTCATTTGATGATTCTTCTTGAACTTCGTTTGAACCTTCTGTTAGTCTGTGTGGGTGAGCTAGTGCTAAGAAAGTTTTGTAAGAGAGATGCTGTGACCTTTGGTCGGTTGGGGTTTCCACCCCCACCCTCCGGGTTTTTCTAATGATCCTAAGTGGATTGACAACCACACCGTCACGTGTCAACTTGTGTTATCTAAGACCGCTTTCCATACGCTCGCTAGCTCCACACCCTCAATCCTATTCACGCTGTGATGCTTAGTGATTTCCACCGCCTCGGCTATCAGCCGCTGTGGTGTGAATCGCAGTCCCCGGCTTAAAACTTCCACATTCTCCGGATCCATTCTATGTCCCGTGTCTAAGGGATGTACCGCCATCGCTGAGTCTTTGACCAGCGTCTGGTATTCTTCTGCATTCCGTGGTGGTTTGTTAATCCTTTTTTATGCTCACCAATTCTGGTGTTACCCAGCAATAAATCTACCGATTGTCACCAAACTTTAAAAAAAAACGATGACTACCCAATCGGTTCCAAGTATTTTTCACGTGATTGAACAGTCTGGAGATCCTTTGCAGTTTCTATTCAAACGCTCGACCGTCTACTACAGCAAGATGGAGTGTCGAAAACTCAAAGGTTGTTCCACTTCTTTCTAGAAAACCTACTCCCAGCTCCCAATATCAAACCAGATGTCATAAACTCAAATCGATTTGCGAAAATTCCCACCTAGAATAAGAGTAAAGAATATGCTTTCAGCAAGGTCTTTTCAAGTCATACAGTTGCAAAGGTCAAGAGAGCAGTATTTAACATATTTTAATGGGCATGGTGTATGTGAACAGGAAATAGAGTGAGAGACGCATTGGATATCTATCAAAGAACTGCTAGTTCAGGTCACCAACAGAGTGACCTGAGCTTGTCAACGTGGGTAGTGCACAGAGTGGAGGGAGGTGGGTTGGACCATGGCAAGCACAACACACGAACAAAGCGTTTTTACCGACAAAAGATCGGGTCGCGATGTTGTATTGCGATACCCTCAGCCACTGCGATTGTGCATTGCCCGCGCAAATTGTTCTCCGTTGCTGTCTGCTGACAGTGTCTAATGCCGGGAAGTCCAATGACTTTTTAAAAATCAAAACCGTCGTAATCCGACGCAATCAAGTGGAATTTCAACTTCCTTAACATGATATAAGGAAACAAGAAGCGAAATAGTGTCCAAACCGATCAACTGAAAGAAAGCTGAAATTGATCAACCGTACTCTGACCACGGAATGTCTACGTGTATGCATGTAGCTTGCCACCGAAATGGCTTCTATTAGCCTCAGATAGTATGATTCTACACCACCATTTGATTATCATGAAGGAGTCTGACATATCTGTTCCAGTCTATGAAAGTTACGGAAGCAGCTTACGAGTTCTGATAGTCCCCAATCTTCATGCGTGCTTAGCCGGAATTCAACCGAGTTTCTTCAAAAGTGGATGACACTTCTGTTAGCCATTCTCCGTATCTTGTCAGTCTGCTTGGAATTTGCTTTGCTTGATCCTACCACACGGATTTGATTACGGGTTCTGCTGCTTTCTTATAATGCGTCCATCGTTTACTTCGTAGATTTGTGGCGATTTGGATGCATGCGAAAGACTACAAATGACGGCAAATCAAGTGTGTCAAATACAACAAACGCAGTCACTCTACCACTCACTAGTGCACCCAAGAGATGTATTCCCGTGTTTAATCATTTTACACCTAAATAGCTAGTTGTCCAACACGTAGAGGACTCCTGTTCATCCACGCGTTCAAGTGAACCTGCGAGATGGTTGGAACTTTCATACAAAACCCTTTTTTTTAATTCATGACGGATTAAACAAAATAGAAGATCTAGCGTTGAAGGTTGGCTGATAATTAGTCAAAAGTGCAATACACAAGTACGGCTACAAGTGTACCTAGACTAATCGGAGAACTCAAGTGAGATTTCAGCGATCTCACAATCTTGGCGAGTTGGGGCCTCATTGCACAGCTGGATATCTGTCGCCGGCCCAGTTAGCGCAGTTCGAATTTCTAATTTGTTATTACCCACACTAGTGGAAATACCAAGCAACTTCTTATCGTCTCCGTTTATCGACCAACAAGATGCAACTCTTATCAACTTAAAGACACTTGTCGAGATCTGATCACTGTCACATCCACCACGAAGAGCTCACAAATTGTTCATAGTAATCATAATAAAATCCTATATATACTACAGACTAGGATCTAGATCGCTGGGCAGCATATCTTCAACATTTCGCTTGAAACTCTGCTCCATCACCTGTGCCGTTACTCGAATCGGCCAATTTTATCATTTCTCAGTTGGTGAAGTAATAACACGCTACTTCAACGTCGTAAGTAATTAATAAATGGTACTTGGCAATTCTGCGCCAGCTTCAAATATTTCGGAGCGCTCCGTCCACGAGGGATCTTCCTTCTTACGACGTTCGTAAGCACATCTTAACACATTTTCATGAACCTCAAGAATTATGCGTTTGATTACAGTGTTATTTCTGTCCCGTTTTTTGTTAGATTTCAAAGGTGCACCATCATCACAATCCTTTAAGGGTACGGGGAACGTTTCATGAGTGACTGAGAACCCGTTGTTGGTGTCATAGTGGTCCTTACATTTAGATAACCTGTTTGCGTGTGCAATCGATTCGGTAACAACCAGTGCGTCATCAAAACCCCTTGAAGTACCTTTGCTTCAAATGCTTCAAAGACGTTGCGTACAACCACAGCCGATCGATCAATCGGTCATTGTACTTTTAGTAGTCTTGTTCCAAGTGTCTGGCACTGCCTGGGGCTACAATATCAACAAGCCGTCTCCGATCCCAGCACAGAGTCAACAAGATTGCTTACCATCGTAAAACGACGGAGCAATTTCTCTCCACTGCCATCCGCTGAACCTTTATCTGTCAAGAAGGTCAACAAAAATACTGTGAATACAATTGAACTTTATGAATAGTCACGCCCTCACAAGAATAGTTAATTCTGTCAGATATTTTCCCTCTTTCCACTGGTTGAATGTCTCATACACAAAGCTCGTTGATTCGTCTTGTACACGTTAGTGTGAGTCATTCAATGGAAGTTGTCCCAAAGATTTATTAACCGCCTCACTTGTTAAGCCTTGGTTTTGGATGCAGCTGACCGACATTTTCGTCACTCACCTGAAACGTTGACCTGTTTTCAAGCACGTCATCCTTCAGCCGGTGTAATAAGCTACGCCGCATGACGAGTGAGACTGCAGCTCAACTGGTCAAGTGCTATTTGACCACGACATCCCAAACCCTTGTCACCGGAAACATCAATTACCAGTGCACCCCTTCCACATGTCACAATGACCTCATCGACAAAAACAGCTTAGATCCAAAGTATGTGATTCAGAACGACAAAAAGGCAACGTAATCTCACACTCGTGGCCACATTCTCCTAGCACTTACTAGCACATACAGACCAACGAAATTACTAGTGACAGCCAAGAGTAACCGTCGTCGTCTAAACCGGAAAATCAAGCGCCCAGATCTGATCAAAATGATTCTAAGCACCTTATGAGATCTAGACACCCGTACCAACCGGCAGGATATTTTAATCGATGTTTAACTCTGATATAGTGTGCTGATGGAAGCAGATCTTTCCGGAATACGGTTGAGAATATTTGTGACGTCGTGAGGAGAACGAAAGTAGCGAACAAAGCTTTTTCCGATGAGTGGCCCTCTGAGCTACTGAACGAGGAAACGTTATCTGCAAATCACGGGTACATGCGAGAAAAAGAGAAATAAGAAGCAGGGGTCAAGTTGGAGGCACACGGGTCAGTGGGTCAGGGAATCAAATGAGTGGCATCAAGGTCAGACAAGTTTGTGGGGCTGGAATTTTCTCATGCCAGCTAGAGTTCAGGCGTTCAAGAAGTCTCTCTTAGAAGCAAAGTTGTGGGTCATTCAGTCCACGACGAATGATAACAGTCCGGATCGTGCCAGCCATGGCCGACCCAGAAGTACCCGGTATATGACATCACAGGCACTCTCTTTGATAAAGACATAACTGGATTTGGGCCAAATATGAAGTGATTGCACTTAATTCCAGTTTATTCCAACTGCAACTCAGATATAATGAATTGTATTCTCGCGTTCTGTAAAACGAACGCTTTGTTGTATGACCAACTTATGATGTTTGGCGACAGCATACTCATGACTACACACAGAAGCAGGTGATGAAACGTAGCAGTTTGTCCGTCAGGCGGATCCTGATAGTGGGGCTGGAGGTGAAACTTAAGTGCAGATTAGCGGCCATGCAAGTTAAGTCAACAGAATTTCTGAGCCCTCTGATTCAACGACTAAATCACCTTTGAATTGGAGCCTAATGTAAACATGTTTCATCACCAACGAACAATGGAACGTTTCCTGCTTAATCGATTGATTAGTTTTGAGTGCGAACCGTCCACGATAACCGTTCTGTAATTAAGCGATATTCACCATCAAACTGACTTTATACTGCACTTCTGTGACAACACTACACGACAATTGTCTTCCCAGAATATCAACAATCAGTGGGTGGATAAAACTCGTGTTATCAAATGCAGCATTGAAATTTCGAACTCTGAAACATCTGAGTTTCAGAAATATACTAAAATTCTGATAGACTTCTCTAGGATGCACGATCACTGGATATCTTATTAGTGCACATTCGTTGATAGCCATAACACGACTCAGGTGTATGCACTAATAAAAGTTTTTAGTATGATTGACACCGGAGCGTTGCAACACGTATAAAAATAAATACAGTGCCAAAAGGGGGCGAGTCATAAAAGGGAACTTATCATATGTGAGCCCCTTGGTGAAAGTTCGGACGGCGGGAACGTGTTTTCTTCGCAGTATAGCTGCTACCCGTGTTCCATGATTGTCCGTGGACTTGGAGTTCTTGGCTGACTCCTTGTTCCCTGCGCGCGTGCCACCCTGTGTGTGCTGACTGCGTTCGGTTGCTCTACATGTAGGTCCGTTTGCGTATACGTGGGCGCGTCAGCACGTGAGTGGTTGGTACGCTCACTAGACGGTGCAGACAATCGACGTCTGATGAGTCACCTTAATGTGACGTGGTTGTGGGCATGAAAAAAGAGACAAGTTTCGTGATCCAGTGAGCGACTGTTGGATGAACAGTCAAGTGTGTGGGTGATTGGGTAGCTACAATCTACGCAATATTTGGTAAGCTCCGTTCGGTGGTGCTAGCGTCTCGGGGTAAGTTCCTTTGAGCAACATTCCACAAGGAAGCAAAACCAAGTGTACGACCAAGTGGCGATCAGGATTGGTGAGAAGCCCACATACTCACACATCAAGAATTTGCAGGGATATGTTCAAGGTCAAAAAGCGGTGAAATGGGAAAACTATTGAAGAAGGCAACGACGTTCACTAGGACGTGATGATATCTGAGGTTCCTCATGTTTTCGCAAAAGAAACCATTGGCAGTCTACAGCAACGAGCATTTTCGTGTCTACTCACTTGTACCAGCGAGGTAGCTCAAGTGGTTAGAGCGCGAATTTACTGACCGGAAAGTCCGTGGTTCGAACCCGGCCTCTGCCTCCCGATTTCCTGTCTAGGTTTGGGCGACCTGGCAGTATCCCAGACCTCGTGCTTCCTTCGGGTTGCATGACAGCTAGGCAACGATAGGGTGTTACACCTGAGTGATCTATATTCCAAATAAGTGATCGTGATTCTGATGGAGTTGGATATAAAACGCCAGATGGAATAGTTAAATTTGGAATATACCTCCCGAAACACACAAACGCTTTGGTTCATACCGGTTTCAACTACCACGAACGACAGCAAAGTTGTTCCAGTATTTAACTGATTGATCCATGAGTTCAACAACCACGCTGTCCTCCTGCATCACTGTATGTTGAAAAGTCCCCTCTAAAGTGGTCTTGCAATCAAAACCTTATGCAAACAGCTGTAGATGTGGGAAAGAAATAATCAGGAAGAAAGTGGAACATCAGCACCAGGGATGTAACTAGACACCGTACCTAAGCTACCGAAGCATTAATCGTTCAGCCTTCCGTTTTTCGTCAAGTATGTTCCTGCTTCAGGCATGATCAGTCCCAAACCTCTCTAAGATGCGACCTTGTGATTCATATCCATTTTCTGGTTGGGTTGGAATTCCACCAATCAGAGTGTTTGAAATGTGTGGATGGAAGTCATCATTATTTAGTCACGGTTTAGGAATCGCTTATCATCAATAACCGCATGTCACTTCACTTGTGGTTCTGTGTGCTTATTCTGTACGCGGTAACGAAAGCAGACTCGCAAGAATCGTGCGAGCCAACACATCCAGAACTGTGGGTCAATTGTCATTTCGGCGAGTATAGATGGGCATTGCTGGAAAACAGCCGACTAACCGAAATCCCACTTGAACGGTTTTCAGCTGAAACCCTAGGATATTGTTTGAAAATTTGCGAGAAAACTAGCCCTTGTATGATGGCCGAATACGTTTACGAAGCCCGGGTAAGTGTATGAACTGCTGTAAATCACTTTACAATATCTAATGGCGGACGGATCTCACATTTTTGTGACTCCAGGTATAATTGTTCCAAATTTATGCTCCAGTGTCCCCGGCCGTGTGCACCTCACATCTGGAGGTCGTGTGATGGAGAATGGAAAGAGGTGTTAGCCTCCTTTGTTCCGCTTTAACCCAAATTACTTTTTTTTGTCAGTAAACAGAATATTGATAGATTAGATTGATATGGATCTCTGAGGCGCACGAAGAAACCATCTTCCTCGGTTGTGAAACTTTGGTTCTTACATTCCCTCAGCAGGTAGTCTCGCCATTATCATCACGAGGAATTCTCCTATGACGTTTTCTGTAATTCGACAGTGCAGGCAGGTGGCGAGACGGCTCAATGGTTAGAGTGCGAATTTACTGACCAGAAGGTGCATGATTCGAACTATCGATTGGAAAGGTAGCCGATTGAGTACGAAAATAGCGGCGTTCAAGGAGGTTGTAAAACGAATAAAGATGAGTTCGACCTAAGACCAGGGTGTTGCAATTCGAAACAGCAACTGGTAGAAAAGGATTACAGAGGTGTCCAATAGAATGTTTCGACGAAAGCTTACGGTAATTACCGACCAAAAATTTGACAAGTATACTCCACTAAATTTAGAACAATACTTCAGAAATCCGACAAAGAGGTAAAAAGCGTTGTCAGCTGGTTCGGAGAAAACAGCAAATCCGCTTCTCTGAAAGTGGACAACATGAAGTTCACGTGCCTCACCGAGGAGGTCAAGCCTAGTTAGCACTGAGTTACGAAGCAAGTCGTTGTATAGTTCCCCTTGAACGAGAAAGGATCCTGCGCACTAATAATTCAGTGGATGCTCGGTGAACGGCAGTGAAGCATCAGTATTATTCGTACTTAGTTTTGCTTTCAATGACCACGATGGTGGCGGATTCTCCCCTCTGTCCAACAGAGACATCAATGCTTTCAGTAGCAAGGCACTGGCTGAGCAAAGACGTAAGAAACACAGACCTTGGGAAACGAGTGGCAGATCAGGGTCACTGATGTTCCCAATCTTGAAAGTTCGGTTAGTTGCTAGTACACAGTAGTACTTGGCGATATTGTTAGGATGTTCGAAGAAAGCAAAGGCTGTGTATTCCCAAATGAGTCAACCGAGTTGCTCTTAAATAGTATTTGAGGCCTCTTCCACCCTGCTACCTCGGGATGCAGCACACTCCACAGCAATCCCCGTTTCCAAGTTGCACCTGGGCATGTCTCATTCCGACCATTACCCTGTAGCGACTTATTCTTTTGACTTTTCTATCTTCATTTGACTTCCCCTCTAATAGGTTGTCACGTTCTCCAAAGGCGCATAAGAACCAACGACGAAAATCTACCAACTCTGATATGAAGGGTCTCCAGTGAACAACATAGATAAAGTCTTTGCAATATATAGAAAGATTATGGTCATGAAAAATGGAAATACCAGTGGCCAAGGACAGCCGCTAAGTCGGCTGTTTTCTCATGAAGAAGTCCAAGAAGCCGTGAGGTTTCCCCAATGAAACAGATGTGATTTGTCTTTGGCAACGTCGAGATATGATGACTAGATGAGCAGGAGGATAATTCTGCGTACGATCTTGTTATCCCTGTTACTGATAAATTCAATTAGAAGGAATTGTGAAGGGGTCAATATATAGGTTCATAAGGAGAGACCGATGATTATTCAAGGAACGAGGTCTGCCTTCTGGAACCAGGTAGTCAACTGTTTGAGAAGTTATACAGAACATTCGGGAATCAGAACACCAGTGTCTCATCCGTATACACCACGTGAAAGTGCACATAAGTTCCCATCAATCATACACATCGAATTGTTCTGTGGTTTGCTACTGAGTTCCGGATAACCAATAAGCAGGTCTGATACCGCTTGGCATCTTCTGAACGGGGGAAACTCGACAGAATTTTCTATGAAATGTGATGCATTGCCCCAGCTGAGAATGTGTCACCTCGACACCAGCCGACAGTTGAAGTGACTTATCAAGCGTGGTATTTTTTTTTGAGAGCAGCCTTTTCTACTAACCACAAATCTCTCACACTGCGTCAGTCACTCCTGACTGGACACTTACTGTAACCTAACACGGTGACTCAAGTTAGATCCCATATCATTCCTGTGGGATATCACCAGAGGAGCTCAGAACGACTGTTAGAAGTACAGGAAATGTTGTGCATTCCGTCCACATTTGCCTAGTTTGTCGTGTGTGAGCCAATGCAACTGAAATATTCCTTCAGTTTAGTTTAGCCACTTCATAATCCCAAGGGGTTCATGAACAGTGGGAGCATACAGTTTGCCGACAGATGTCCATGAATGACAGCAACTGTCAAATCCTTTTCGCAAAACCAGAACGTGAATCGCAGGGAGAATTGATCGCGTACCTCATGTAGCAACTGGGCTGCATCGGCTCCGAACTGCAAGCAGCACAGTGGATTGCCCCCGTATACAAAAGAAAAACTGAACTCCGACTGGCCCAGCGGCGCCGGCCGAAATAACGGACATAGCATTGAGTGACAACTACTCGCCTTGACGGTTCCCGTCGATCTGAGGTAGGACAAGAATATGATTATTGTCATATCTCATCCATGTGTGGTTTCGGAAATGTGGAAAATACTTCGTCAAACGGAATTGGTAGGAGATCAGATGATTGAAAGATTCAATTTTGATGACGACACACCCCCAAAGGCGTCCTGCCACAAACGCTAAGACAGTACTGTTTACTCCTATCCAAGATGGAAATTCTGTGAGGACATGCCGCGTGCCGGTTTACTGAGCGCCTTCGACCGAACTCTTGGCGGACTTTACGAAAAGGTTGACTNTGCCACAAACGCTAAGACAGTACTGTTTACTCCTATCCAAGATGGAAATTCTGAGGACATGCCGCGTGCCGGTTTACTGAGCGCGTTCGACCGAACTCTTGGCGGACTTTACGAAAAGGTTGACTTCACCCCCATAAGTTCGATGTCTTATGGATACTACTCCAAAATAGTACTTTTGGGTTTACCGTTCTAGTGCTGAGCTCTCGATTATATATAACAATCCGAACGTGAGCATAAGCGGTCAATATGTAATTCTCGATAATGTCCAGTAATCCAAAGTCATTGCTTAACAAAAAGCTGTTTTTGGAGGTCGGCCGTCGTTGCACAAACCTTTGGATGGCAGAAGAGCGCACTATCCACTGCGCCAACTCGACTTCCCCTGGTTTGGATGCTGCTTTAAACAGGCCTAAGCGCGCACTTTTGGACACTTGGCAAGTGCTGCTTCGTCATGCTGTCAGGTAAGGCGTTACCTCCCGAACGTACTGACTGACTTCTGAGCCGTTATCTCTGTATACGGCCAACTCACACTGCCTGACTTCCCGTTTAAATACTTTTGTATATTATTTGGTACTTACTCCTTATTACCTCCAGGAAATCCCGCTGTTCCACTGGCTTCGCCTCTGCCCCTATCGATTGCGCTATTTTCGATTGTACGTCCTGCTTCATTCACGATGTTCATTAACTCATTTGCCTATTTAACCAGTTCTCGATCCGACATCTACTGCCATCAACCGACTGTTTCCACTGCCCACTGAATATTAACTGCGTATTATAGTCCGATAGCTCCAATCGTCCTGTAAGGTCCTTAGTTACCCAGATCCTATAATTAGTGTACAACACTGATGCCCCGGTGCCTAACAGTCATAATTTATTTGAAGGCCTTATCGTAAAGAATAAAAGCGAAGGGGAGAAGGGACTTAATGCTAGCCCACCACAATTATCCCGAGTTGCTAACATCTCTAAACACCCATTCATATGACCTGGGCAGAAACTGAAAACGACGTGGTTACCATTGATTAACAGTCATACCTCCGCGATCCAAGCAGCGCCATCGTTTTGTCTAATATCTAGTAAACAGGACAATAGTCGTTCAGCTGTACTGTCCTTTTGGTGCAGAGTTCTCATGCCGTACGAAGGAAGGACAAGGGCTGAGATGCTTCCAGGTTACCAAAGTTGAGTTCTCCCGAGCTCGACAAATCCATCACGAGCATACTTCTGGCATTGTAGGAGGATGTGGCGATCTTATTCCAGTGCGAATTGGCATTCGACTGTGGATAAGTTGGAAGGCTACAAAAGACGGTTCTGCTAAATTCAGTTAACCCCAGACGCGGCCTAGAAAACCGAAAAGAGAAGCGATTCCGGACGAGTGCATTGTCAGAATCCACACAATTGTTCCAGATTTGAGTTTCAGTCAGATATTGATCTCCACCATTAATAACTGATGGCAGTGTGAGTTCGTGACTGGCACGCTGTTGGAGGAGACCATGTAGCCAGATGATCTGGCACATAGCTGAAGCAGTCATTCGCGATTGTCTGCTCAACCCAAGTAGACCATCCACTTAAGTCTCCGGTTTGCTCACCCTGCCCACTTGTGTATTCAAGCTTTCGGCAAAACCACCGACTTCTGGGGTTTTGGTCCACCATAAGAGGAGTCTCATAATGTTGTTTCTGATGGTGCAAGAGTTACAGTCGCCAAGGAGGCGTCATTGTGCATGACGAACAGACAACAACCAATCTCTGGCTTGTAAGACTACCTCACGAAAGTTGCCAGACGAGCCGCACCATGGTGAACACCAACGCCTAACCAGCTAAGCAACGATTATCCCACCCAATGACTTAGGATGATGCCGACCCCAACTGCAGTGGTCTCTGGATCTCCAGAGGTTCTCAGGCAGAAGTTGGTGGTGGAGCAGTTGGTTCAATGACTGTGCTTGGAAGTTGGACTCTCGCTTCGGATATGCAGCATAAATTAGTTTCAAGCAAGTCCAGCAAGTGCGGACTGGTGTCTCACTTGCCTTACTTGCTTCCGAGTTCGAACACAAAAAGCGGCCGGATAGACCAGGACAGATCCAAAATAAGAGTAATATTATTGGAGTGGGGGGGAGAGAAAAAGTACATCAAACAGAAAGGCATCAGCAGTAGTCCGTTTTCTCTTATTCCGTCTCTCTCCGCCGTATTCAGCAGTCGAAGCGACCCGACTCGTGGTTGTGAGTGAGGGCACTGTCAGGGAACTCGACTCTACATAAGGAGACGATTATGGTCCTCGGTCAAAGCTTTTGGCTGAAAAGCCTAACCACAAGGCAGCAGTGTTTAAACGGGAATGCCCGTGAATAGCATTTCTTAAGAAACAAGTGGCTACTCATGCTTCAACCCGAAATCCAGGAGGACCAGGGGATTGTGTTGGTCAGACCTCGAATCACTGGACAACCTGATATAAGAGACTTCGCTGATGCCGCAAAAACACTCCCCAGTATAGCTCACTGGGTCACTGAAGCTGAAAAGCCTACCACAAGGCAGCAGTGTTTAAACGGGAATGCCCGTGAATAGCATTTCTTAAGAAACAAGTGGCTACTCATGCTTCAACCCGAAATCCAGGAGGACCAGGGGATTGTGTTGGTCAGACCTCGAATCACTGGACAACCTGATATAAGAGACTTCGCTGATGCCGCAAAAACACTCCCCAGTATAGCTCACTGGGTCACTGAAGCAACCAAACCGTCACAACACGGTAAGGTCCAGCCTGTCAATGGTTGACGTTATCTGAAATTTTGTCCTGTATAAGTTTTCTCATACTGGATTTTAGCTGCGAACTTGCCACCAGAGGAAACTTCTCTCTTCAAACGTACTGCAACTGCCTAGCTATCATGTTTATTTTCACCTTACCAACCAAGTTTTGTCGCACGTAATCACGGCGCCGTCCCGACCATTACTTCTTTCCTATTCATTTGTACCACACAGCGTTGCCGACTCGGCGGGTTCCAAAGCCCGGTTTCCTCGTTCACGGACTACCCAATGACTGACATCTTCGTATTGGAGCGTTGCCGACGGGTTCCAAAGCCCGGTTTCCTCGTTCACGGACTACCCAATGACTGACATCTTCGTATTGGAATGCTGTGGTAGGTTTTGTCTTGCACAAGGCTAGATTCCAAAAACTGCCTCCATTTGGTCGGTTTGCGGTTAATGTATTTTTAACGGAGTTCTACTAACGTTATTAAAGTACGTCGGTTAAAACAGAAGTGTCTGTTAACGGTTGCAGTCTTCCAAGCTCATGATGCCAGGATATGCCCGTTGGACTGGTGGATAAATATATGCGAAACAAATAGAAGCCAGGCATTTGTCCAAGTATGGAGCACTTTAACGTCATCACAGTGTAGTTGACCATTTCGGGGTGAAGAAAAAAACAATAGGTGAGGATATTATAAGTACAAACCCAGCTTAACTAGCATTTCTTGCAACCTATTATTAGGGAAACATCCCACTCGAAAATTGCAGATAATATTATAATAGTATCTTAATTGAAATGTGCTAAAAGCTTTGGCCAAGTGTACGGAACAATCTAGGTGGGAACCAGTGAAAAACATGTAACGAATTCTATCTTGTTCCAACTCGTAATTAAGATTTCATCTCACCGCTTGCTACCATGGCAGTTTATCTTCTTTGCGTTGGCGTCTGCCTCCGTTGGATAAGATCGACATCGGAAAATAAACTTAATGGAGATATTGCCTGTTAAGTTCACACAGCCAAACATCACATTCCCAGGGTAGTAACCCTCCCCTACCCATACCTTAACAAAAATTATAATGGAAGGATAATTCTAAGACGACATCTACTCCGCGGAGTAGGTTTGAAGTTAAATATCATTGAAGAATAAAACAGTCAGCTAGAAAAACCATTCAACCGTTTATACCTGACGCGTTGAAGTAACCTCAAGTGGCTTACGAAAAACCAAAAACTGCAATCTTGTAAGTGAAATCAGTTTGTATCTAAAAGCCGAGAAGCACTGCGCAACTGTCGACCCTTGCCGGAAATCACCAGCAGTGCCCATCTCACAAACCTCCATGAAGGTTCGAACTCGTAATCTCCCGCCACATAGTAGATAAAGACCAAACTGTTGGGCCCCCGGGCCACTGATCAGCAGTATGACGAACTCGCACTAAAACTAACTCACGAACTTCCAAAACATAAAGGAGCCCACTGCTACATCTGGATGAGGTGAAAATGTAAAACACCGGGCAGATTCACTGCACATGTTTTGCTCCGAGTAAACTGTTTATAACAGTCGTTCAATAAATTGTAATGAACGCCGCACCCGAATCCCAACATTACTCTGAAGGTTCCGGTTATTTGTTTTTTCCAATCAAAACTGTGATGCCACTTCCTTTCGTCTCATTTCGCTTAGAAAGATATGTTACAAGCCTCTCATTAAAAACCTTAAATGTTTTTGTTCATGGTGAACGTGAATGCGCTTTATCCCACATAAGCCTTTCGTCTGTACAACATATAAGTCGACCTTGGTGTCACTTACATGCGGCAGAAGCGCACCGAAAAGCAGTAGATGTTATTGATATCTTGTCAACTCCTAGAGTGAATGATCTGTTGCAGCTAACATCTTTCATCACACGTTTCACCCGTACTACCGGGCCTCGTTACTCAAGCCAATTTTGACAAGTTACTGGTCTGGTTGTTGAACTGATCAGTTCTTCTCCTAATTCTTTCATCAACATATCAAACAGTCTACACACTGCCCACATTTCCTCCAAGACCCACGTCTACGAATACCCCAACAAGTCCCCTTTAATCTGTCACTTCAGGTTTTATTCGTTCGAAACGGTTACCTTTGTACATGAGGTCTTTCTATCTTCCGTAATTCATGTTTACAAGTAATAAAACAAGTTGTTGAACTAATTCGCAATTGTTAAATGTTTCCAAACTCGCACATCCAATTGGTTTAGTAATGAATATTGTATGTTATGCTATGGTAGGTAATGCTGACTACTTCCCGATGCGCTGAATTAGCGTAAGCGTTTGACACTGTGACCAATGGCACCGTCGAACATTTCGGGATTGTTCAAGAACGAAGGGTGCCTAGCTGCCGTGTCACCCGAAGGGAACACGAGGGCTGGGACACTGCCAGGTAGTCCAAGCCTGCGCAGAAGAAGCCGAGATGCAGAGTTCGAGTTGGAACCACGGACCTTCCGGTCAGTAAATTCGGGCTCTAACCACTTGAGCCATTTTGCCTCCCCCATCAGGTCACAGTTTCTGAGGATGAGTTGGCTTCTAATCATAGACGACAATCCGTAGCAACGTCCAAGTAGAGTGTTACCCGGCTTTCGTTCGACTTTTTGATTGCAAACAAGGAATGGAGAATCAAAGAAAAGTTAGTCGTAATCATTGAGACCAGGTTTTCAACTGTTCGTTGGTACGACAGCGGCATGTCCGGCAAGACAGTGGCGAAAGGGATGGTCCGGAATTAGGTTTGCGATAACAGGTCTCTTTTGGCAATCTCAAAGGTTTATGAGGTTTTGGGTGAACAACCAACGGTGGTTCTCTTAAGATATAGTCCATCCAGAGGACTATCAATCCTTATGAGCGTCGCAAAAGACTGACAGTTTTGTTGTTAATTGGATGCAACCACGGATTACATTTCCACTTGATGAGCAGAAGGTTCGACAAACAAAGCCTTGAGATTGGAGAGAACAGAGATGAACAGAAATCAGTCCTGCTTCCAGGGAAATGCCTATATCCAGCAACAACGTGAATAGGAATTTACATCGAAGTGACGAAACACAGAGGGTCAGAAATTAGAAACAAGCAAGCAAGTTTTAATCGGTCGTAATCTGTACATGAAAAAAAAGATGAAAGACGGGTCGTCATTTGTCACCTCAGGGGTCTATTTTATCGAGGTCAATAACCGATATTCCTCCTCTGTGGGAGGTCGTTCCTCGGATGGGTGAAGTGTGGTGCAAGTGAAGAGATTAGTGAAGAGGTTAGGTGTTGTGGTAGACCGAGCCAACAAGCCTAACAACTCCATTTCATCCAACGGCACTTCGTCTTCTTTGAGCTCCTTGGTCACATAGTTCGATAAAGACTGTAGAACCTGTTCCGGAACTGTACATTGTTTCATCAGCAAAGCATCTTCGAGAGTCAAACGACCATGACGCACTCGTCGGGCACTGGAAAGCAAAGTCGCAGTCCGAAGCTTTGGACCAATGTTGGCGACAAGATTGATGAGGAAATCCAGTGTTTCGTATGCCACCTGAACTTCTGAAAAATCGTTTAAGATGTGAAGTTTGAATATCGTGAAGAAGCTACATGGAGTAGTTCCAAGACTAGAAATAATACAGTTGACGGTTAACTTGTTGGGTAAACATGGTAAGGTATGACTGATGAACTTACAGGCGCGAAATCCTTAGTACAAATATTGTCGGAAATCGCCAGATTGTGGCTAGCAGAGAAACGCTGCGTATCCAGAAGTCGAACACTAATCTCACAGTGCTCAAGCATACTTCCAAGCTGACCACCTAGTTCCGCATTATGTTCCGTAGAGTTATCTTCTTCTGTTGTCCATGTGAGAACCAGTACCCTGATCACTGTTCACGCCGTATCGTGCCTCATCTGCACGCCCCACTGTCGGATTTGGTTGTTTCTTTTGAAGTCCTGAAAGATGTGATACCTTATATACTTGATCTAAAAGATTCGACGAGACAAGAAGTGTAGATTCCAACCAACCCTTTTTGGGATTGTGTCTACCTAGCTAAACCGAAGCGAGTCCTTACGATGAGGAATTCTGTGTCCGGAAGACATTGGAGGCGCCTGAAGGCTACGAAACTCAGAATCACTGAGGTTGGTGAGCACTGTTCCAGACGGTGTATATTAGTTTCCCTGATGCTCCAAAAGAATCGAGCAGAACGAAGACACACCGGGATTTCAGGTCAGGGCGACGACGCCAGTTATTGCGCGACCACCTGCAACATTCGCCCAAAATGTACCAAGACCATAAACTACGAGGATTGGTCGTACTGGAATGTGGTGGTCTTAACTAATATCTAGTCGTGTACATTATTCAACCTGATCACCTAAGGCCAAATGTGACTATGTAACGTCAGACGTGTAGTAGCAAACTGAGGTCCTTGGGGGATGAAAAGATCGACCCATCGTACAGTTCGGTCGTTCCGGCCTTGGTTGCCGCACACTTTCACAGCACACCGTATAAGATGCACTATGTGTACGGTCCTAAGAAACTTCGTCAAGTAAATCTTTAGAACCAGCAATGCCGATCCCAAGAAGTGTATACATGACCCCGGACTACGTAGAAACTCTGGATAACCCCACCATCAACTGCTATGGTGCTTCTAGCAGTTGTCTGTTTGCTAAAATCCTCGTGACAGACGGCCTGAAGTTTCAAAAGATGCAGAAATTCCGCCTTTTGAGCCAGCAGCCTCCAACATACCCATTAATCCATGTCTTCAATACTGCGCAGGTTGATGCAAAAAGCTAGCCAATAAACCGCCGCATTGAACATTCCACACAAGCGGATATGTCGTACGATCGACCAACATCACCTGATGTGGAGAAAGCACGTACCCAGCAAATGTAGTCAGGTCATGCAACCTACTGATGGAGGAGTAAAAAGTACTCTGGATGGTTAACGTGTACCCAACCCCCAAGCACGAGTTACTTGTTAGGGAACCCGTCATCCAATCAAATATATCCTGACACACTGTATGGATTTTCCTCTCCGAATATATATTTTCTTGCACCTGGTGTGGTACCACAGTGGAATGAGGACGCCCAAGAGTTGGCCACCTGAAAAGGATGTCACACTGGCCAGTTTAAACTGAGAGTGGTTCAAAAATTGACTATGTAGAGGGATTTCTTGCAAGACGGTGTATGAGGATGAGACCCGGGTATAAAGAAAACGAAAAGGTAAAGACGGTAAAATTACCACTGACAGGACAAAACCAAATGTAAATAACCGCAAGCTCATCAACCATAAACTTCTATAGAACCATTTAATGAAAAAGGGACAACTGGAAAGCACTAACCCAGGGTGAAAAACGGGGGCTCGAAAGCCGCGCAGCGGATAGAGTTGACGTATGGAGCAGACTGCCTTCGTTCCGCCTCGTTACCCACAGCAAATTCCCCAGCGGCGTTCACAAATGGAGTTGAGTAGGGGGGAGGACTGCGTTCCCATGGGGAAATGAGTTGCTCACGGTCTTCGAAATCCATTTCGACTGCACTGGGCGTTACTGGCCTAAGATCAGAACCAGCGCCTCTAGCAGCCAAAGCCAAATAAGCAGTTTGTGTATTCGGGCGAAGTCCTGCATGGTGTAGGGCCAAACGGCGAAACTGTGTTTGCAGATCAACCAGGATACGATCGAGCTTGTAACGAGTCACGTGGCCTAGAATGTTGACAAACGCGGATACGGACAAGTAACAATGAATTTTGTTGAATCACTATCTTTTAGGCCTATGTGCAGGCGAACGTCAGTCCAATTTCGAAACAAATCGAAACTCCTGGTGCATACCAATAATCCCAAATATTATAAGATATTCCATAATAGAACATTAAAACACGCATTCCCACAAAACTTCCCACTCTAACTTGGATACAGTTCACTTACGCCATGACGCACGAAGTAGAGTTGCTCCAGAAGCAGTCCCAGAAGATGATGCTCTACCAAACATGCCATTTAAATGATAGGTCTTCAACCAGAACGAATGGGCAAACTGTGTGGCATGGTCGCAAACTCCATTCTCTCCAATGCCTAGGACTGATGGAATCAGAAACGTGAAAAATATGGATACTGGGATACCTTGTAGACCAGAGGTCATCTCATCTAGTGGATCAACAGGATGAAGGACAAAATCACCAGCCACAAAACGCCTTCCTAAAACTGTGGGAGCAACATAAGGATGGTATACCAGAAAAATTAGAACTTGCCTAGTTCGTCATCCACTATATCGGGGACTGAGACAATGGTAGGTTTGTTACGTTGTCGTTCATCAGGACGTAGTATTGTGCGAACGAGTTTTGGTTCGCATGTCAAAGCATTAAAATCTGCAGTGAAAAATGGAGGTCATGGATCCTGCATAATCACACCTGCAGCCAACTGCTTCTTTAACATGCTTAAGAATCTGTCCAGAACCATGTTAGGAGGCTTGTAAACTGTTATAAGTCCATCCAAGAGTTTGAACAGATCAATACGCCGGGCCATATTGAGAGCGAACTATCAAATATGGGCTACAAAGGGATAGATACAGTACAGAACAAAGGACGTGACAAAAAGAATGGCTACATCCAACATAAAGGTCGTTTTTCGGCGTACATCGAAATTTAAAATCTGCCACGTTGAGAACCACCAAACCATCAGAACAACACGTGATTCGATGTTGTTCAAAGAGCCTGAGGCCAGGTTGGTAGGACAGGCAAAATCTAAGGCCGTGTCGCAAGCTACAGCTGGGATATTGATCCCGGCTGAAGGTGTACTTCAAAAACGCTCCTCAACAGCATACTAGCTGAATGTCTCATTGACTGCTTGTATCTTGTTTTCCAGTTCCAAGTCAGATCAACCACTGGCGATCAGTCTGTAAGAAAAGCTGTTACAAGTGAAAGCGGATTTTTTAACAATACCATATAATGATAATAGAAGTGGAGGAATGCAGTTGATTAACTCCCGAAATACTATTAGAAAGTCGAACCGGTGTCATTCTTTAAAAGCAAAATTCGCTTGCACACCCGTCACGAACAGACTGGAACTTACCGTTCCGTGACGGTTTGTGTACCTCGGAGACCCACTGAACTACACTGAGGAGTGTCCGCGGGACACTCACAGAGTCTCTCATACCAGATTAGTCAGTGGTTAGAGGTCTGACAACACAGTCTTCTGATCAAGTGTAGAGACGTGATCGGTAAAAATGGTAATATACTCGTATTTCCAGCTAAACACCACTGCCTTGCAGTTAGGCTTTGGTTGAAGATCTTAATCGTCCACCTGTCTAGATGTGGGCACCCTGGAAGTATCCCAGCTCACGTCACCCGAAGGATGCACAAGGGCTGGGATAATGCCAGACTGTCCAAGCCTAGACAGGGGGAGTCAAAGTTGCAGAGGTCGGTTTTGAACTACGGACCGTCTAGTCACGAAATTCGCACTCTAACCACCAAGTCATGTGCGTGTCATCCGGCACCGACATCCTCAGAAATATCGATATCAATCTTCGAGCCTCGACATCCAGTCTATCTAGGCACCCTCAATGTCCACACTCTGAAACAAGTAGGTTAACAAGCTACTCTTGCTCTCACAATGAACTCGCTTGGCATTTATGTGCGCTGTGTATCAGAAACAAGAATTCAAGACGCAAACACAGTGGCTGGGCCGACCACTCCATCACTCTCCAACCGTTTCCGGCTGTGCACCTCTGGCGATTCAGACTGCTGTACCAGGATGGGCAGGAGTCAGTATCGTCCCAAATCACCTGGCGGAAGGATCCTTGCTTCACTGGATACCCATTGGTAGTCGCCTCTGCGCCATTCGTCTGGCAACACTTATGAAGAAGTCTTAAAAGAGGGGAAGTCAACCGATGTCTCTGTGTCGTATCTGCTTACACCCCAACTGATTGTAGCTCTGACACTAGCAAAGACAAGTTTTATGACGCCCTGTTACGGCTATCTAAAAGCCTAGATATCGCTGTGGTTGCCGGAAATCTGAATCACACAGATGGGCTGGCTTAGTACATCTAAGACACTGTTAGGTGGTCACAATCATCGCCGTCGACAGCATGACGTCAGTCTTCAACACCAATGCTTCGCTACCGTACAAATACGATTTATTTGAAAGTCCTATTGAGAAAAAAGTATCAAGGTGAAAGGGACTTCGTACTAACTTACTACAACTATTCCTAGGTGCCTACATCTCCAAAGTCATTCAGGCAATCTGGATAGAAACTGACAACACTAACGTCATTGGCATTAATTAGCAGCCATACTTTGCACCGTCTCCAACCATGCGCAAAGGAGATTACGTGGTTCCCATCCTGTAAGGCGAGTAGAGCCGACAGCGTCCAAGCGTTTCGTAATCTCTTTCATACTCCTCTGCCAGGTCAAGAGTTGGCCACCTCTCTGCTTACGCCACTCTGAGTTGTGCATGGAAAACAGATCTCTTCAACAAACAGTGATGCGGCATACGCAACACATCTCTCGACCAAAGCAACTCCTGGTGCTCGACACATTCTTCAATGGAAGTACCCGTTGCACAACCGAAAACTCTCTTTCTAATTACCTCGTTGCGGATTCACTGACACCAACCCACAACAAACAACATCTGAAGACGTCTCAGTACCGCTGCTCCAACAGGCTAAGTCTCAGCCATAAAACAAAACAGCCCGCACTGTAGCTTGATACATATGTTCCAAGGGTACACCACTTTGGAGTCTCAAATTAGCAAACGCGACCCGCGCCTTATGGATTCGTGCATTGAACTCATTCGTCACACTACAAACAGAAATAATACAACTCCCAAGATGTGTAAAACGCTCCGCAACTTCTAGTGCATCTCGCTGGATTGTAAGTGGCGTGTTTAATGACTGCGATCTAGGAGCATGACCTTACACCTTATGGATGCAAGTGCATACCAAAGCATGAGATGACCTTGGTCACTTAGTCCAAAAACATCCGTGCCTTCTCCCCTTCAAAGACGAAAACAATGTCTGCATATTCCAGATCGGCAAGGTTTTTGTCGTCAGTTTGACAACATATAGGTAGCCCAAGTGTGCTTACAGGTGGACGAACAGATGGTAGTTGATCTGTTCGCCCAGCTTGGCGAACAGATCGAATCAGTATTTCATGAGCCAATATAAGGCGACGAAGCACAAGTGACGCCTGCAGTCTCGTTACAACCTGGGTTAAGCTGAACCCCTGTGGTTACCACGCTCACCTCCAAACCCCTTTCTGAAAATGGGCACTATCACCTGTCCCCCGACCCCGTTTTCTGGGAGTTTCTTTTTCCCAAATGCAGGCAAACTGACCAGGCAAACGCTAACCGAGGATTTCACTCCCGTCTTTGAAAAATGCAGGTGGGAGGTCATCCGGACACGAAGCTCGGTGGCGCTTGAGAGAAAAATCGCAGTCGTAAGCCTACGAGGCCGTAGGAGCTTCCAAGTTCACCGCCCAAGGTTCAATGTCAACTGTAAGCTCCAGATAAGTGGCAGCTGGTGGCCACGAAACCTGTTGTTTGAAGTATTCGGCCCACTGGTCGAGGTGATCACTCCTTTCCGAACATTGATGGCTTTGTTCACATGTGGTTTTCGGTAACCGGTCGAGTGGGCATTACTGGCTTTCTGGGCCTCTTCCATTTCCTTGGCTTTCCGTATCCACCACACTTCAGGATCAGCTCACACGCGACTTTCACTTGACGTCTGGTAATTCTTCGGCCATTGTTCGGTTTAATATCCGGTGCTTGAGTAAGCCGAAGCCGAAACGAAGCAGTCCGATTCCTCAGTAGATCAACAGTAAATAGTTGGTGCGGTTGGAAGGCTCCTGGAAACGCAGTCAGCCTGATAAAGATTAGTCAGAGTTTAAAAAAATGAAGGAAGGAAGCTGTAATCTTAGCTTCTCTCTAAGCCCCTTTTTTCTGTCTTACGATCTTTTCCAACCATGAATTGCACATATACAAATAAACGATTAGTCAGGTTTAAAAAAATGAAGGAAGGAAGCTGTAATCTTAGCTTCTCTCTAAGCCCCTTTTTTCTGTCTTACGATCTTTTCCAACCATGAATTGCAAATATACAAATAAACTCAGGCCACATCGGCCGTCGCGTGATGCCATCAGCCGGGTCGCCTTACTTGCTGCATACAGCAGGGCGGGTAAGCGAAAACAGGCTACTGCTGACGCCTCCCTTCTTTCTCCTTCACATACTTTTTCTTCCCCCTCTCCCCCCCCCATCAATAACTCTCTCCTTGTAGGCCCAGCACGTAGGACTGATGACTCCGTTCGTCATACATCGGTTTTGCGTGCAGCATCTGCTCGTCACATGGTGCCGACATCTGCAGGAATCTCCAAATCAGTCCTCAAGCCTCGACACCCACTCT